TTCATTATTTTTATTTTAGGCACATTTGATGCAAATTGCAATTTTGAGAGCTTATTTTCCATCAAAATTTCACTGTTGTTACATACATAAATAGACCAAGAGTAATGGTCACATGACCCGACCATGAACCTCTTCGTCTACTTTGGGCATGTTTGTTTATGACCCTCTTAATTTGTCTATTTTCCAAACTTATTTTGATGGTAAAAATTAAGATAAATAATAAGAATGTATAACTTTTTGGGTACAAATGTATTTATTCCCAAGTGTTTAGTAAAAATTAATTAACAAAATTTTAAAGTTTTTACGGTATATTTGGTTTCAGGAAATAAAGGGGATGGGGAAGAGGGGTGAATTTGTTTGTCTAATCAAATTAAGATGATTAAGAATTCCTATAACTAAAAGATTATCTTTTTACACTATTTTCAAAATCCTCTTCATCCATTACAAAATTTAAGATTCTTTCTAGTATAGTTGTGATTTTTTATTTTAATTTTTATAAACTAAAAACCATAATCATACTAAATAGAACCTAAATATATAATGTAAGGTGATAACCAATAAGATTAAAGATATACTAAAAGCCGATAGTTATAATAGTCATATACTACAACTAAAAAGTGAACATCATGACATTTTCTTTATTTTCCAGACTTATTTTGATAAAATTTAAAAATGACATAAGGTTTAATCTCAATTATATGATGGATTAGGCGTAAGTGATATCTACATCATGTATCACTTATCTTTTAGTTAAGATTAGACATCCTAACATTGTTAATGGGAGAACATCCTAATTTAATTTCACTGAGCTAATTAGAAACTTATCAAAACTGACCCTTGGATTCAAGTAATCGGAATATCGGATGAAAGGTTAATCGATTTTGGTTAGTAACAGATCAAAACCAAACCTACTAGATTTAAGCAATTTAATTTATTACTTGATATTCATTATTTATTCATTTCTTCTTCTTTTTTTTTTTGATACATTTGATACTAAGTTATACACTAAGAGATAACCCTTTTTTTTCTCAAATTTCTTCTCATATGACTCAAAATTTAAATATAAAATCTCCAATTTGAAATTTCAAACTTTTCATTACTTAGCCTATATTACTCATTTAAGCATTATCTTGAATAGTTTACCAAACCAATGTAATTTTTCATGTGTAAATGATATAGTTATAATATCATATATGATTATAAATTTAAAATTATAATGTGATTAAATGAATATATGTATATAATATTCTTTGTTTTATTGATAAAAAAATGCATATAATACTCTAGGGAGACCTCTAAATAAAAAGAATTAATTATATAATAAGACATTATAATTCGAAGTTTATAATACCTTTTACATTGTAACTATATATTTCTGTTTTTCATGTACAAGTGCTAATTGAAAGTAGAACTCGGATATAGCGTTCGGATAACTAATAAAAATCAAATCAATTCAAACTAGGTCGGATTGATTCATCTATGATACGAATATTGAATTCAATTGAAATTTTTTTCCATCTAATTAAGTCGTTTTGATGACCAAATGATCAAAAAAAAGCAAAAATGGAACACTTCTATTCGTATCATTCCAAGCTAGTGTGGGTGACTATAAAATGTAAAAACTTGTTGTCCCATATGGTAAAAATGGCGTTGATCTCATCATCCCTATAATCACAAAACCATCCAGAGAATCATTGGCACCATCGACGGGAGAAGTTGGCATCTATATAGCACATCTATTGCCAATGTAACTTAATTTGCAACAAATTTGATGGTAAAAAAATAGCCTCTTTATCTCTATCAACTCAAGGAAAATGGTTTATGATATAATCCTCCTCAAGGTATTTTCTTCATCGTAGCCCCTACGGAGCAGTGTTGGAATTGCCTTACCTAAAATGTTGTAATTGCCTTTTTTTAGTTAATTATAATACAATTGAAGGAAATGAGAAATTAGTTCGAATTGACAAAAAACTTAATTTGGACAGAATCTTAGTCCCTAGGCTTTTATTTTTTCGATTAAGTCACATCAGATAAGTAGACACACCCACAGATATACATATTCATACGTCCTCTTCGAATAAAGATGGTTACTCATAATTTATACAACCTATTTTATATTGTTATTTGGGACTTAATTGAAAAAAATAAAAGTTTTAGGACTAAATTTAATGTCCAGACATAAGCTGCTCTTAGTCAATTGAGACCGAGCTATCCATTTTCTCAATTTCTTTTGTATTATTGTATGGTTGAAATTGTATCTACTTGTACCATATGAACTATTAAGACAGATTCTACAATTTTAAGAGCGAAACCTTCCAATTTAATGTTTCATGTATTGGACGGTTAAGCATTAATGAAAAAAAGTAGTAGTAATGTACCGTACGCGAAAAACATTCCCACACACGCAACCTAAACGCGATAAAATCTGGTGGTGGCGTGGTACATACACCCGAGATGCACACTAACTTTTAAATGGTATGCTCAAATCAAACCAACTTCTTTGCATGGTACTGGTCGGGTGTTTTGCCAGTTGGATGTTGTCATAAATTAGTCGAAGAATAATCACTATAGAAAAAATTATTTTATAATTTAAACTAGATTATACTGTAAAACAATTGATTTGTATTAAACATAAAGAAATTTTAAGAGAAAAGAAATAATTTAATTGTTATTACAATAAATAAAACTCAATGTGAAGGGAGTTTGATTTTTTTAAATAAGATATCGAATTTGAATCTTATAAATGAAAAAACAATTGTTAAAAGAGTTTTTCTTTTATAAAATCTAACGTGATTTAATTTCGAAATAATCAAAAAATAATATAATTATCAAATATCAAAAAATTAATACAAAAACAAAACTCTAATATTCATTAAGATTTTAATGCATCTTAATCAATATATAGCTAAAGCCCCATGTTCTTTTTTTTCCTTTCTTCTTCGAAAGAAGGCAACGAATACTTGTTCATATTTTGCAAACTCACCCTAATCAATACAGCTAAAGGTACAGCCTACAGGTGCTTTAGGCAACTTGTACTTTTACATATTTCGCTAAAGGGAAAAAGGAATGGGTTGAGATGAGGACTAGAACACCCTACTCGTTCTCAACTTATACTTTACTCACATATTATATGATTTAAACTTAGAATTTTTAATGTTCAACAAAAAAAAAAATTTTACTGAATGATTTAGATGGTTAACATTGATATAATACTTTTGAGACATGCCTTGCTGTGACCATGTGGTCTGTTATTCCACATTCTAGCAGTCACTGAGAACCAACCCAGATGACATAAATTTGTATCCTCTGAACGTAATTAGGAAGGAAAAAATTCATGGCCACGACCTAATTAGGTTGAATTCTTATTTGACAGTTCGTCCCAGCAGGTCATACAAAACTCTTTTTTAAAAAATAAAATAAAATAAAATAGAAATCTTAGTTGTGCAAGGGTTCTTACCA